TATGGTCCTTTTGGAGTTTGTGACCACTGCACTGGGCTGTGACATTCTGACTGGCAGAAGTGTTAGAAAAAAACCACCATCAGGAGGCCACGTGGGTTGTCTCTGCTCAGCTGTGGACAGGCTGCCACTCTCTTATAGACTTGATTTTCTCAACTATAAAAAGGAAATGATAATATAAATACCTTGGGCTTAATTATGAGGGTTAGAACAAATGTATTCAGCAAAAATACACGTGTAAGTATTTAGCAAGTAGGGACTGAATGCCAGCTGTACACTGGACTCTGTGCTGGGCACTCAGGGAAACCGGTGAGCAAGACAGATAGATGACATCTGTGGTCTTATGCGGTTTAATTGTTTGCCTCCTGAATGCCAGACGCTGAGTAAGTGGCTTAGTAAAGCTGGCTAGAAGTGACAGTCCTTTACAGCTCCTGGAATACACAAGGCATTCGTGAAATGTTAGGAAATGTCACTGGACAGAGAATTACCTCTGCCGGACCAGGGGAGGGAAAGGAATTTGCTTTAAAAACTAACAAAAAAAGGTAGTGTAATGCAGTTGTTCAAATCTCCGAGAATTAACGTGTTTTAAAACCTCCTGAGAAGTACTATGTGCTGCCTATGAACAAGCTCATAGAGAGACCCAGAGCCCAAGTTTGGTCAGCAGCTGTTCCATAGCCGTGAATTGAGGCCACCTGAAAAGCTGGCATCTGGCTTTTCATTTTCACTTCATTAATCCAGGACACTGAAGAGAGGTGTTGCTGTCAGAAAGGAGGGGGACACTAGGGCTACGCCACCTATCTGGGTCCCCAGCAGCCAGGGGGTAGGGTGCTCCAACTGCCTATGAGGGTGCTCTTGAGCAAGGGTTGCCAGAACACCCACTGGGAAGCAGTGACTGCCCAGGGCGGTTGGAGGTTTCTCCCCAGGGGACACCAGTTCCAGTCCCACCCATGTGGCAGGAGGAGAGGTGTATTCCAGGAGGCTGTTTTCACTCAGGCTCTCAGGCCCTGGGCAAGCTGCATGGGTCCAGCAGAGGCAGTAAGGGAGCTTGGCCCTCCCCTGGTGCCCCTGCTTGCCTGGGTCTTCTTCTCACTGCCTCTGAAGTTAATGATATGCTAACTCTTTGAAACTGAGTCTAGGAAAGTAAGTTCTCTTTGACTCTGTTGAGAAGAAGGGAGAAAGAGGGACAGAAACAGAGGAGAGAAGAGAGAATGGAAAGAGAGGGGAGAAAGAGCAGAAAGAGGGGAGGGAGAGGGATGTAGAAAAATGGGAAAGAGAGAGAGAGGGATGACGGAAAGAGAGAGAGAGAGAAGGACATGGGAGGTGGAGGTGGAAGGAGTGAGGGCTGGAGGAGACGGGAAAGACTGAGATTATAGACCTTCCAAATCTGTGATCAGTCCCGAGTGGGATTATGACAGCAGACTTCACTCCCCCGCTCTCCAGCTCTCCTGGAGGGACAGCCATGGACAGCCATGGACAGCTTCTGTCACGTTGGCCCCACACTTATCTCTGCATCTGTTTCCCTTTGTGCAAGATTCAGAACTGTTTGCTCCAAAGAAACAATAAAAGCATTCATGTTTATAAGAATTGCACAGGTGAGAGTTAGTTTATTGATATCGTTGTATTTTCTACTATCTATTCATTTAGCTCCTGTCTGAAATTGGGCTTCCCAGGCAGAGTAGAAAATTATGATACATTTCTGTGAAATATTTTTTCCTTCTGGGATGTCCCTTTACAGACCTGGTGATCTTGGTTCTCATTTAGGTGAAAGTTTGTAAAAACATGTCATGAGTTTGCTTTTGTGATTAACTCCTTTACAGGCATATGCTCCTTTTCGGCAGAGTCGGTATCAGGCTTCAATTCCATTTTCCACTCTGCATTACTTGTAAGTGCTTTATAGACAAAGAGCAGAGGTGGCACACGTGCGGCTGAGGGGGTGGGGCAAGGTTGGAGTGCCCCTTCTAGACACTGCAGGCCGCCCTTTGTAAGCAGCAGTGTCTGGGAAGAGGCCTCATTTCCTTTCCCTCAAACAGTTTCCCATTGTTTGAATATTCCTAAGACTTTCTCTAGAAGCCAAGTCACTTTTACAGAAAAAGTCACTGCTTTTTCATTCCAAGAGATGCAAATTTGGAGTTTGGGGAAGTTTTCAGGAGCTGGTTAAGTCAGCCCTTATGACGTCAGACAAGTCAGGCCACAGAATTCACAGGGCCCAGGGAGACTGAAAACTTGGAGCCCTTTGTTCAAAAATTATTAAAAATTTTGTCAAACATCACCCCAACAAGGGACCCTTCTAAGCCCAAGCTCCCAGTGACTGCAGGTCCCAAGTCCACGCAGCCGGCTGCTGTCAGAGGTGGTTTGAAACTGTGTATGAAATTGGAAGTGGGGTGCAATGCATAGCCCAGGTCCATGTGCTGGGGTGGCAGGGAGCAATGAAGCTTCCAGTGGAAGAGTCTGGCCGGCCCCTGGGCTCACACACAGAGCTCCCTGGGGTGTAGTGTGCTATTCTCCCCTGCTGCCCAGAGAGATCATGCTTGTACCATTTGTGAGATGACTGGCCAGAGGAAGGGGCTTCCCACAGAGCAGGGCCTGACCAGGGGCCAGCCCTGGAGCAGACTGCCAGGAGTCTGGTGTTTAATGGGTTCTCAGGTCTTACCCCTGAAAGGGCCAGATTGTCCAGAGGGACTTAGCATTGCTGACTTGTGTCCTTATGCAGCGAACCCAGAGGCTTGGGCAGTGCTCCACTGGAGAAGGTTTTCCCCTTTGGTGCTTAGTGGCAGAACCGGAGCTTGGCTTGGAAACATTCTTTTTTCTTTTACTTGGAAAGTACTACCAGAGGGTATTAGTTAAATAGATCAAGTGCACAGTGTGTGGCTTGTTAACATGATGATGACATTTATTAAATAAAAATATAAGTATAGTATTAAATATAAAATATTTTTAAAACAGTTCCAAATATGGAATATGTTTAATGTTCTCTTCGTGTAAAAAGCACAGAAACACACAAACACACACAAAAATTTAGTAGTAAGTGGTGAAAATTATGGGCTTTTTTTTGGCTTTTTAAAAAAACATTGTGGAAAAAAAAACTATCATTTTATGTAGCAAAAAGTTTAAAGTCACCATTCTGAAAATTCTGTGTTGAGTAGTTGTTGCAACAAGATTTGAGTCCGGTACTTTTGACCAGTCAGCACAGAGGCACTGGGGAGCTGGTCTGTGCAGACATGTAACCACAGCAGCTCTTCCTGAGAGCGCTGCCCAGTGATTACAAAGATTTTTCTCATTTGAGTCTGTCTTGATTCTTTATCATTGTTTGGACAGTTTTAGAAGTAAGACTTTTTTGCCTTTTTCATAGTAAAGTGTCTGAGACTCTGGACACACTATCTTTTGGTGACATTTGTGCTGGCTTCAGGGCCCATTGGTCTGGGGTCTGGTTTCGGCAAGTTGGTGGACACTTTGGTCTCTGAAACACTTTTCGTCTACTGTGGCCACTGGCTGTACTTGAAGCCACACACCAGTCTTGAAAACTCATATCACAGCTCAGACTAGTTAAGTACCTTTAAGAAATAGATGAAAACCCCTCCCTGTCCAGAAAACATGTCTGTCATTTATGTCCTCTTCATGACTAATACTGATATTCCCGAAACTGAAGATGCATATTCATTCCATAAGCACCATAAAAGATATAAAGGTATATAAAGCCACATCGGTGTGATACGTATAACACTTGTGCTGCAGAGTTTTCAGCCCACCTGCAGAGGGTAAGGTCACCAATTTGTCCATCAGTTTTTAGGTGTCTGCTGAAAACAGGCCTTAGCTCAGATCCACACCGGATTTTTCAGTTCTAAAACCCAAACCTAAACCAGAGAGACAGGACAGACAGGAGGTAGGGAGGATAAATAAAAAACTAATAATAAAGGAGGTTGATGGGGCCCTAATTGGAGAGTCGGCACATAGACTCCATTTGCTAAGGACCCCTACTGAAGGCTATTTAGCGGAGCGTAAATGAGCAGATTTCCTTGAGGTCACATTCTGCTGGCCACAGCTTTCTTATCCTCAGAGGTAGCAGCTGTCATCTGCTGTAGGCACCTGAGATGCTGAGCTGCAGGCCAGGACCCCGAGTGTAAAACACAGCACTCTCTTTGTTTCTGCCCCACTAATGCTCAGAGTCTCTCCCGGGTTGTGTGGTGGCTTGCTGTGCAGCCTGTGGGACATTCACTGTGGCCACTGAAGGACGGCATCTTCCCGGTTGTATTTCTTAAATTTAAACCAGTCTGAGGAGCCAGGCAGCTGTCGGCAAAACAGGAAGGCTGGGCCCTCTCCTGGGCTTGTTTTGCTGCCGTGGTGAGCTTCACTTCTCCCGTGTAGGAGTGCTGGTGGAGTCTGAGGCAAGGGCCCAGAAAGATTGAGGGACAAAGACAGGAGCACCCATGTTGCCCATCTGCCAGGCTGGAGGTGTATTCATTATTGATGGAGGTGGTGCGGTTGCTGCTCAGATATGCAGCCCTGCCTGGGTAAATGAGACATTCTTCAGCAAATTGCTTCGTTTTTTTGATTGCTGATTGTACGCGTGTCACCAAGCTGACTCAAGGTTCATCGATGCATGCTCAGTAAATTAGAAAGAACATAACTATGGATCAGCCAAGAGAATGAATTCTGTGCCTACAATGACCCAGGGCCATTTAATTTTCTGCTTAATTTTGTTGCAGTCAGTTTGCATTTTGGGTTATTATGCAGTAGGAAATTAACAATAAATAACAAATTTGGTCCTCCTGTGCTTGTAATGATATTTTTATAAATCTTTGTAATGCTGTTTTTAAAAGGATCAAGGTCTGTGCCAGTCTGATACTCCAGCAAGTATGTGAGGAGGAAAATGCATTATTCTTGCCAGATAACCTTGTTGTTAAATAGCATAGGGCTTCTCTCTCTCTCCCTTTCTCTCTCCCCCTCTCTCTCATATCTTATTAGTATTTTTACTTTAAACTAAAATCCCTTCCTCTCTTTCTCAGATAACCTGAGGACAATGGACGCTGATGAGGGTCAAGACATGTCCCAAGTTTCAGGTGAGACCTTATGAGTTACCTGTATGGGGAGTTCCTGAGAAAGGCCCCCAGGTGCTTGCTGTGCTCCCGAGGGAGGAAGGCGAGCTGCTCTGAAAGGCCAAGATGGAGTTTGTATGAGGGTCTGCATCGCCCCTTATAGATTATCCTAATTTGAGAACCTGAACAGAAAAATCTTAAAGATTAAATTTGTTTTACTGTTAAATCTGACCAAAAAAAAAAAGATTGAACAGCGTTAAATGTGTATTTGTACTGTTGGGAGGAAAAATGGCTGATTAATCAGTTCAAACACCCAAACACATGCCAATGGTGACATTTAAAAAGAGAGAGGGACAAAGGTGGGATGGGGGAAAGGGAGAGACAGAAGAAATGTAGCTTGAAAAACTAACTTTGAGGTACAATTCAAAATACTTGAACATTTTTTAAGTGTAGAAATAACGGTGCTCCTATTTACCATATATTCTTCAAGTTGTATTGGACATCACTCATCTCACCACAGGAGACCCAAGAAGTAGAGAAGTCAGTAGTGGGAGACGCCCAAGATGGGTCACAAACTGTCCCTTTTGGCAATGCTGCGGGTGGATGGCCAGCCAGTTCCCGTGTGCACAGGTGTAGGGAGCCAGCTGTCCGTCTGGCCCTGTCCCTGGAGGTGTCAGCAGCAGTAGTGGCTTCCCTGGCTTTGGGGACCTTCAGTATTCTATGTTTTAGAGCCTCACAGGCTTGTACCAGTCCCAAGGGCTGCCCTCTACTGGAAAAAGCTCTGTCAGTGCCATCTTGCTTAGGGTGAGCTGCATCCACATGTTTTGAAGATTTTAGTGAATTTCGCATTTTGGTCTAAGTGGGTAAGTGGGTGCTCCTGATGGAGATGAGGCAGGAGCGTCCTTGCTGCTCGACTCTGTGACTATTCCCTGCAAAAGGTGCAGGAGAGGACATTTCAAGTCCCCTTGAACTGGAGATGGATCTCCTGCCAATCACAGATGTCGACCTCTGCCCGCTCTGTCAGCTGGTCCGTTCATGTACCTAGTTTTAGACTTAAACTCTTCAGGGTGCAAGGAGCAAGCAAAGTGCCAGCTTATAAAACATGGTGCTCAGGGGCTTGTGTTGGCTGCCATGCCAGTTGGTCAGCAGGTACACCTGCAATCTAGCAGCTTCACTGTTGGGAGATTGTTGGTCATCTTCACTGTTGGCCCTGGGTAACTCACCACAGAGGTGTCATTGTTATTAATGTTTAAAAACTGTGGTACATCCATGCCCTTGAACACACAGCTCTTAAAAATGAAGATACTAGTGTAGAAAGAAGTCCAAGATTTGGGTGAAAGTGAGACAAGCTCATGCGGGTCTCCTCCTTTACAAAGAACACAAATTACACACACAGACACATCTTCCATACGCTTGGACATACATGTAGGGAAATTCTGGAGTCATATTTGTTAACCTAGACTTCCTCTTGGAAAATTGGTGGTGGAAGGAAGTGAGTTAAGGAGGAGAAAAAGGAAGAGAAAGATTTTGCATTTTATCCTCTACCTTTTAGCTTTATTTGAATTTATTTTCCCTAAACAGGAGAGCACAACAATAAAAAAAATAGTTAAATGGAAAAGAATAAAAAAGCAGTTTAGCTCTTTCTAGCCTCTCACTGTAGCCTAAGAGAGCTGGGTCTGGGCCACACCTGCGGGTGTGGACTGGGATCCTTGCTCAAGAAAGAGAGCCTCATTTGCTGGGTTTGCCAACTGTGGCTAGAAGTGATTAGAGTGTTAGAAAAAACTCTGGATGTTGAAAAGTTCCAAAGGCATCTCAGCACCCATAGGTCAGTGGTTAGGGCGCCAGCCACATGCACCAGGACTGGTGGGTTTGAACCTGGCCTCAGCCAGCTAAACAAAAAAAGCAACAAGAACAATAAAAATAGCTGAGCGTTGTGGCAGGTTCCTATAGTCCCAGCTACTTGGGAGGCTAAGGCAAGAGAATTGTTTAAGCCCAGGAGTTTGAGGTTGCTGTGAGCTGTGATGCTACAGCACTCTACCAAGGGTGACATAGTGAGACTATGTCTCAAAAAAAAAAAAGGTTCCAAAGGCAGGAAGATGTGCTTTCCCGGTGTCTGCTCTTCTGCTTTTCTTTGTTGCCATCCAGCTGGGTAGTTTCTAAATTGGCTTTTGCATAATGTGTTCAAAGAGGAGAGATGCCTTTGAATGACTCTAGGACCAGAGTGTAGAGTCTGAACCGAATGCTGCAGGAGCCTGGGGGCCACCTCTAGAATGTTTTCTGTAAGGAACAGCCAGTCAGTATTCCCATCTCCTATCTCAGTAACAAAACTGACAGAGCCTGCAATAAAGCCTCGTTTTCCTGTGATAGTTTCCTTGTCCTGACCATTATACTAACTACTTCATTTGTTCTGGATTCTGCTATTTAATGGAGACCACAGCTAAGGGAAGGATAAGAAGAAAGGGCTTGTTACTTCCAGACTGCTTGGAAAAGGAAACTGGTTTTTGTTTGTTTGGAAAAATTTAGTCTGAAATTTAGTTTGTATACACCAGGCAAAGAACTTTCTATTTTTAAAGTACTAATAGTACTTTGGATTTATGTTCAACTTTGAGTGGTCTCCCCAGTGATGAGAGCATTTAAAGAGGTGCTTCTCTGTTGTGAAAATGTAAATAATGCCTTTTCTGCTTCTTGGAATCCCAGTGCTGCTTCTCCATTTAACAGAAATACCGGTTTCTTCATTTCTAAAAGTAGAGTGAAGCAGTAGTTAGTTAGATTGTAAGAATGTAAACTTAAATAGGAATTGACATTCTTGATAAGAAATCTGAGGAATATATGACCACATCATCCTTTTTTCCCATAAAATGTTCAAAAATCAGCACCTTCATAGGATTCAACTAAATATATGTGAAATGCTCACTCAAAAATCAAAGAAATACTTAGTATCTGCCTTTTTTAAGCCCCTTGGGGTTCATCCTAGATGTGAACTGTGCTGTACGTACAGAGCCCTACAGGCGGCAGCCGCTCTCTCAGAGTTTACTGGCTTGAATCGCGGGAAGGAAATGGTGTTAGGAAGAGGAGGGAGGCCGTCCAACACAAACCACCTTTCCCTTTAGGGCACATGTCACTAATTCTTGGGATGAAGCTTTATTTATTTTTTCTTTGTTTTTTGTCAGTTTTTCCAAAAGACTTGTTATTCATATGCATTAATTTTTTGGTTTGATTCTGAAAGAAAGAGTGAGGGATGTGGGTGAGGCCTGCATGACCATGGCCTCTCTGCCCCCACGGTGGGCCCTGAGAGAGCCGATGCCTCCTGGACCACTGTCGTTATTATCTGTAGCACAAGGACTCGAGCCAGGACTCGATCCTTCAGTTTCCTCCAACCCCTAATTATCTATTGGATATTTTCTTAATGCTATTCATGCATTTTTATTGGGTGCGTTTATTGGGCCATGGCAACCAGAGGTGTGCCCTGAGGCCATGCTAACCTTCTTGGGTGTGGAAGGCTCTTAGACAAACTGACAAGTCAATAGGAATATTTTTTTCTTGTTAATAGCAAATCACTTTGAACTTTCCTGAGTGTTTTCTCTTTCCAAGGACCCACTGAAGAAAGTACAGTTATCATCTCCAGTTCTCAGGGAGCTGAAACGCAGAGAAATTAAATCACTGACTGGACATAACATTGAGAGCCAGGGATGGCTCTGGGGTGTGAGTTCCGCTTGGACCCCAGAGTGCAAGCTTCTCCGCAGCTTTGTACAGTATTGGTGCTACATTCTTTACTTACCACAAGAATTACATCCCCCTGAGTAATTGTAGGTAATAAAAACTCATGCATTTGGGAGAGGAAGAAATCAAAGAACTTTGTTGAGCGAATTATAATCTACTTAAAAAATTATTTGCTTTCAGTTGATAAGCTAATTATGCAATTTCCATCCAGTTTTCCCAAAACCCTTCTCATAGGTAAGGCTTTATTTGAAGCATTGGCAATAGGGAAATTACATATAAACTGATGTATTTGTAATTTAGCAAGAAGTTTCTTTCATTTCTCTAATAAGTGAAATTTTATTTCATTTTCTAAATGATTCCGTGTAAATCCTTGATGTCTTGCTGTCTGTGTCTCTGTGTGTTGGTGTCACTGCAGGTGCTTTTAGAGAAAAATTCGAGAGTTTCCTGCCATCCTGCCTTGCCTGTCCTATGGTGGGTTACTGTGTGATACATAGTACCCTAAGTTTACTTAGCTAGAATGCACACACATTATTTTTACTTTATCTTCACCATAACCTTATAAGCAGGGCTCAAATCACATTTTTCAGTCTCCTTTTTCCACTTGTGGAAAGAATCTTAAAGATGTATTCCCGGCAGTCTCAGCACTAATTGGCCGAGCCAGAACTGTACCCCAGACAACTAACTGCTAGTCACAGTATGTTGGCTTATGGAAATCTATGATAATTCATGTTTTTAATTTTGTAATCTTTGCATGGCTTTATATTTTAAATGGTTAACTGAGTGAGTTTGTTTAAAATCAACACAGAAAGATATTCGCCTATTGGACAGGGTTACATTCAGTGGTAAACTTTGATCAGGGAGATCTCCAACAGTCAGGGAACATGAGGGTCTCCGATGCAGAGGCTTGTGTTGAGTGGAATGATGAACATCTCAGCAACCAGACTCACACTCTGGGGCTTTTAGGCAAATCAGATGACCTCTTGAGAACTAGCACTGAGTTAAGGCAAGACCAGCTTGAATTAAACAGGGCCCTTGGTGGGCGTGTGGACGTGTCTGACTTGCTTCTTCCACTCTGACTTTTTGCTAGATGCCCCTGAACACACCAAGACTGGTTTTTTATTCTCCCTTCGCCCCGTGTGGTTTCTTCTGCATGGTGAATTCCTATTGATCCATCTGACTTATGGTATTTAGAATCATGATCCCTACTGTTCTCATTATTCCTTTTTTTCTCCCACCTAGAGAAAAATAAAAGTACTGAGGTGCAGGCTTAGGGACACTGAAGAACGGGACCCAGACAGGTGTAATTCCTAAGAAGCACGTCTGTTACTACAAACTTCCACAGTGATTTGTAGCTGACCTTGTTCCCTCATAGACAGATCAACTAAATTAAAAAACAAAAACACAAAAACAAGAGTTACTTGGATGCATTGTCACGTGAACTGAGCAGAAAGCATGCCATTCCTTCATTGAGTAAGTCCTGCCTGTTTGTGACCCTGCCTTCATTCCGGTGTTCCTTGGAAAATTTCTAAAGGGTCCCAGAGCATCATGGTTTACTCCAAAGTTATCACAGGGACAATCAAAAGAGGAAAAAAAGTCAACAATTAGTCTCTCAGCCTCTCATGTGCCCCCCCTTGATGATGACAGCTAGTCAATCACGGAGACTCCGGTGCACACCCACACCTCTGGGCGTTCTGCTCCCCCCACCCCCATAATGACAGCTAGTCAATCACGGAGATGCAGATGCACGCCACACACACCTCTGGGCGTTCAGTCTGGGCCAGCTTGTCCGGCTCCTCTGGCTTTTCCATGGAGGCACTTTAGGAGGTTTTCAAGAAGGCAAGTGGGCTGAGCCCCTGGTCTTCCAGCCTCCCCACCTTACAATGCTTCTTTACATGGAAGACCTACTCTACACGTTAGGGTTCTAGGTAAGACTAGTTTATTAATCTTACAAAAAGAAAAGAATAAAAGGAGGGAAAGGGGCAGGAAAGGAAAGAATGAAGGGAGGAAGAGAGGAAAAAGGAAAGGAAGGGAAGGGAAGAAGGAAGAAAGAAAGAAGGATTCCTCTGACCACCTCCCTGAAGTCCTACAGGTTTAAACACCGTTGCTCTAGGAAGTCACGCTGTACAAAAATAAGAGTTGCCGATTGGTTCCTGTATCTCCTATGTTCTCTTATTCAGAGTTTATCCCTGTTTGCAAAAGAAGTGAAAAATAACACTAAGGATGGTTACCTCTTGTTCTCTTAAAGTTTTCAATTTGAGGCAATGAAACCAGTACTGACTTAATGCACATTTCCAAGGTTTCAGCATAACTTGAGCACTTTCAATCAATTTCTCTCTGGCTTTTGTTTTTTTCTTGGGAAATTCTTTTTTTTTTTTTTTTTTTTTTGCAGTTTTTGGCTGGGGCTGGGTTTGAACCTGCTACCTCCGGTATATGGGGCCAGCACCCTACTCCTTGAGCCACAGGCACCGCCCTTGGGAAATTCTTATAATCCTGTCCCATCTTTAACTATTCATTTTGTATTGGCTATCCAAATATAACCAGTTGTGTACAAAATATGCCAACTGTGGTGCTTACAGCTAAACTGGAACATTAAATTGTGATGTCTGTTTCCTAGAGAATGCAGTTCTGTTCCCCAAAGCATAGCCTTGGTGCCTGTCAGGTTCCATTTTAAATATTCCAGGGAAAGTTGTTTCATATACTGCGATGATTTAGCTGGTCTTACTAGTCTTCTGAAATGTTGGTGTTACTCTTGTGGGAGGTTTATTCAAACAAACAAGGAAATTATACCCCATACCTAGTCATGTTTTCTAGGCATTTTAACATTGGATTTTTTATTTGCACACTCTCCCAAAAGGCTGGGCTTGTCTTTTTGCCTCTGGGCACATCATTTTGCCAGTTGAGCCGTGGTGCCGGCTCCGTCACGGACACCAGTCCTGGTTTGCTGCCATCCTGTTAGATGCCCTTCAGGATCCTAATCTCAACTGGTGTTCTGCACCTCTATGATGGATCAGTTTGAGTCGGCTCAAGTCCTCACCAGCTGTTTCTTTCTTGCATGTGGTTGGTGCCTCATAACTCAAGTTCAAGTTAAGTCTGGAAGGGTGGAAGTTACAGGAGTTTCAGTTTTGATGGAAAAAGAACATTTTCTACCAGATGTGGCTTCTCAGCTTTGGGTCCTTGGGAGTGGGAGTGAGTGTCCCCATTGCTCGAGGCTGGTGAAACTTGATTCTGATGCAGCCACAGTAAATACAGTTATCCTGTAAAGCCGTAATTCATTTGGTAAATCCTATTGTGTGTAGCATAAGCAACATTCATATTTATATGGACTATAATTTATTTTCCTATTTCACAGAGAAGAATTTGCCTTGACTGTTCCTTTGTATGCAGGGAGAGAATCATGTTCCACAGAGTTCCCTTCTAGTCCCTCTCCACGCTTCTTCTCCCCACCAAATTAAGTCAAATTAGGAAGCTGGCAAAACATTTGCTGGCTCTTGCAAATAAAGTGAGTAGCTCCTAGAATGTGTAGCTCTGGGTGAGATACTCAGTGTGGTGTCTTGCAAAGCCCATTGGTGTGAAGGCTGGTGAGGCAAAATTATGGGAGGAGCAGAATCGAACAACCTCACAGGGGGGAACTTGACAAAACATGTGAAGAATCTTAAAAATTGCCTTTTGACCCAGCCGTAAAACTTCTGAAGACTTATACTCTAGTGATTATTAAGGATTTGTGCAAAGATTAGCTATTAGTATATTTATCACAGTGTAGTTTAATAATAAAAAATGGTTGAAAAATAAGAAAAGGCTATAAATAAATCCTAATGTACTCATCATTAATGAAATTGTGGAAGCGTGTTCATGAGAATGTCCAAAAGCTAGTTTATTTTGAAAAATAAAATACGTCACCACATGTTATCTGTATAAATTTCATTTTAAAGGTGGTAATCTCTGGGATTGCAGGGGATTTACTTTTTTTCTTTTGCATTGCTGTGTTTTTCTGTTTGTATTGTGGGTGAGGGGCAATTTTTTTCTGATGAGAGGAAAGATTTATGTTCACCCCAACAGAGAAGCTTTAATTCAGTAACCACCTCCTCGAAGGTGAAGCCCAGGCACCTTGGACTCCCCTAGTGGTGGTGGTGACTGCCTGAAACTCAGGCTCTTACTTGTCTCCTAGGGAAAGAAAGTCCTCCCGTGAGTGACACTCCAGATGATGGCGATGAGCCCATGCCTGTCCCTGAGGACCTTTCCACCACCTCTGGAGGACAGCAGAGTTCCAAGAGTGAGAGAGTCATGGGTAAGTTGGGTCAACTGGCATCCTTCCCTGTCTCTGTGTAACCTCCCAGTGTATCAAGTAAGTACATGAGTCACTTTGTCCTTTGCTTTCCCTTGGCATTTATGTTAAAGGACTCTAGAACAGAGACGTGCTGGACGGAGTCCTCTTATATGAAGGAAGGGGGGGTCACTTAGAGGCCAGCATGGTCGTGAGACCCACATGCCCGTCAAACCATGCGAGTGAAGGAGCACCCTACCTGGGGATGCGTCTCTGTCACACCCCGGCCCTCATGCATGTGCAGAAATATCAAATTTTATGGATTATAGGTAGTGAAAGTTACACGTTCCATGTGTTATGGAAATAGGACTATTTATCTTTAGAGTTTTGGACTAGAAGGAGCAACATCTGGCCATTTTATGTCATCCCTCTTATCGCTAGTTCTTAAATGTCAGATTTAACTGAAAATAGAAAATTGGATAAATGGGAATTTGTAAATGTTTAAAAAAAAAAAACTCTTATGTCAGCACACATTTGTGTACCTTGTATATAAGTGTCCCTCCACTTACACCAGGGCAGGGTGTATGCGGGGCCAGCTGTAGTGACTCCGGTGTTAACTTACACATGCTGCCGACCAGGTTGAGGAATTTCTAACTCCATCCACCCCTTTTATTTCTGGAAGACAGAGGCCCAGAGAAGTTCAGTGAATTAACCCAGGTCAAATGGCAGAGTCAGAATTAAACTCGATTTCTGACTCAAAGACTAGTTTTCACTCAAAGACCTTTTTCATTGTACTGTGTTCTCATGCGCTAATGAGTCAACAGTTCCTTGGAATATTTATTTTGTTAAAGAGAAAAACTATGGTATTGACAGCCACTTACTGGCACAAAAGAATACTATGAAGGATACATAGGTAGAACAGACAAATATGGATCAGTGACAGAGCCAACGAGGGAAAATGTTCATAAAATTCTCAGGCTGTGAAAATCACCTCAGCCATCGTCTATAGGACATCCACATGCAGTAACTAAGACTGCACAGTAACTGAGAGTTTTCTGTAAGTAGCCGCAAAGCATATTTTGTGTGTCTTCATGTGTCTTAGAAACCAAGTTGACCGAATATGACAGTCCTTCTCTTTAAATTAGCAATACAATTGATGCCCAAATAGATGAGGGAGGTGGCTAAGCCGTTTGGTGGGGACGAATCCAGAGAAGTGCCCTGATGGATTCTTCCGCCCCACTGGAGAGCGGCCACCGTCTGCGGGAGGTAGATGATTGGAGAAGGAACACTTGTGGCCCCTCTGCTCTGCTGTGTGCAAGAAAACTGCCTATGTCATTTCAGGGTTTCCCAAAGTTGAGACACAGATGATCATGCTTGGTTTTAATTGATGCATTTATTTTTAAAATTTTCTTCTAATTATTGCAAGTGATAGTGATTTTACCATATACTGTACTACTACAAAGGTTTCTTTCAAAACACATTTATATAAATCAAAAAATCAATTCAAATAAAAACACGAAGTCAATGATATGATGTATGATAAACATTTGCAAAGGTGTCACATGAAAAGCCATTGTGGAGGTGACGTCCCCTCATTTGTGCAGCCCCCAAAGCACCCAGTGCTAGTGGTACTGTTCCTCCACTTACTGCAAGAGCTCACAGCTTGCCTGAGAGCACGGAGCAAGGACCGTGCGATTGAACAGAGAGCCCACATGTCAGAGTCAGGATGCTGGCTCAGGTGATTATGGAGAAAGTTGCGGGTTCTCCCTGAAATCCCTCCAGCTGCCATAGAGCCTTTGAGCTGCCGTGGCTATGGACATCCTTTTGAGAACTGAAAGTTATGATGATTCCTGGAGAGTAACGAACAGCACAAATGGCCGTCCAAGTAGTGTGAAACTCTTGCCCCTTATGAACTTCTAAGTGTTGGTAGCTTTCCCTAGTGAGAGGTAATCCAACCCCTGGCTAGTATTGCTTACTGGTTCCTCAAACTGTATTTCCTTGGTCTAGAGTCCTGCTCTCTGTCCCAGGTGGGCCCAGCCCAGATGTTACCTTGGAGGCCAGGGCGGCTTTGCCACTTCCCAGGGCCCTGCCTTTTGTCACTCATGACATGATTGTCAGTCTACTTTTCCTTCTGGGATAAAGTTTAGGAAAGATGAATTTCAGAATTGTGAAATCTGAGAACTGCAGAAAACCTCTTTGCTTAGTTTGTAACTAGCAGTTGAAGCTGCCATGTGGCTGAGGAGGGGACACTGAGGTGGTTTGGGTGATCTGGGGGGGACTGGAGGCCAAAGGAGGTGGGGTCCCTGCCACAAAAACAAGAGGTGTGAAATCCCGGAGGACACCAGCCTGGGGAGAGGATTAAGGAGAGGAAGTTAGGGAGAGAGAGAGTCTTGGAAGAGCTATAGAACTACAGAAGGAGACAGCAAAGGAAGAAATTGCACTTCATAGCAACTAAGTTTAAAGGCCATCCTTTATGATTCTTGAAATAATCAGCTAGCTTTGGCATGTGGCCATAGGCTGTTATGAATTGTAATGTATGGGTGGCATTAAATAAATGAAGTCTGTAGATGGCTTAGTGTTTCAATATAAAAGCTAAGGGGAATTTGTAGATTAAAGGAAATAAATTTGATGCCATACTTTATCGAAGTATTCCCCAGGAATAAGTCACAAGAGCAAAGGAGTGTAAAGGATAGGCAGCAGGAAGTGAGAAGAAGCCCCTCCCTGGGACAGAGCGAGCCGGGCAGGCAGGAGGAAGTAGGGCTGTCAAAGGGCGGGGTGCTCACCGGGGCAAAGAGGGCCTGTGGCAAAGGCCTGGCAAAGTGACAAAAATGCATCTCAGAAGGGACAGATCCAGGTCCCCTTGTCCCTGGCCTTGTGGCTCTGCCTCTCTGAGCCTCAGTTTCCTCATTTTATGGTGGCAATAGCAAGTGAGCACATGTCACAGAATGGCCTTGGGGGTAGACTTCGCTGAAGACAGAATGGCGAAGAAAAAATGACAGAAAAATAGCAGGGGAAATAAAACCGAATGCAACTCTGCAAAAAAGAAATTATTAGCATTTACAAAGAGGGTGAGGATCCTGTTGTAGGTTCAATCGAGAAAAAAAGAAAGAATAAATGACATTGTAGCACCAAGAGTAGGAGAGGAATTCACTAGATAAAAAACATTGATCCATAGAATAGGCACATGAAACAAAGCCAGAGGGAAAGGAGGAATTAGAGTCGGGTAAGACCAAAGGAAGGAGTGAGGGGCTGGCTGCTTGCAGGCCCAAGCTCTCGTCACGCGTGCTGAGTCGGTACTGTTGAAATCTCAAAAAGAAGATGGATAAATGTGGGGAAATACTATGTCATAGTAAATTGCAGGAGTGTCTAGTTTAGAAAGAGGCAAGAAACACTTTTGGAAAGGCATGAGCCCTTATTACCAGTATGCATCACTGGGTTTTAGACCAAGGTAATCTGGACAAGGAGAACAGACTATAGTAATAAACAAATTGACAGGAAATAGGAGAAATCACTCTGCTATGATGGGACCGGAGATGACCCTGATGAGTGGGTCACTCCCAGAAGGAAAGAAGGATGGTTTCACCTCTCATTGCTGCGTCTGGAGTTGAGGGAATACTCGTCACATGTCTCCATACAAATGTGGGGAAAGGCAACAGAAGTCGGAATGATCCAGAGCCTTTCTGTGGCCTCCATCTTCTTCCACAGAGGAAACAAAGGATTTCAAGTGCAGCTTGGAGAATTTAGGTAGACTCAAAGGAGAACTGTTTGGCAAGGAGGGATTTAGTCATCGGAACGGTCTGTTTAATGAGACACTAGCTTGTTCTTCTGAAGTGGTCTCTTTAAAAACGAGAGAACTCTCACCTCTCTGAAGTGGTTGTATGTGAAACTGTTTAAAGCTGAGGGTGCACTCACTGACCTCTTACAGCAACCCCAAATTTACTCAGTCAGCCGTAGTAGAAGAGTAAAAAGAGTTTGAGACTTACTCTGAAAACTCTTGAGATGTGTTCTTAAAAGTCTTTCACTTAGAAATTATGTCAGGATTGAGATCCAGAGAGCAGGTAGGCATTTTATACAAGAAAACTAAAACCTTAGTTATTTTCTTTCTCTATCCAATTATGATTCCATTTCTTCTTCCTTCTTCACACCTTGAGTTTTTGCTAGTTCCTGACTTGCATGCTCCTGGAAGGAGTCCTAGAATTGACCAAGGATGCTCGGTCACTGGGATTCTAGTGAGAGCACCCAGGTGTGGAGGTTGGGAGCTGGCTGTGGGTTGACTGGTTCCAGACACACGACTGGCCATGAATAAGGAAGACACCCCCCGCCCGCCACTGCACCCAAACCAACCCTGCAAGGGGGGAAGGAAGTTTGATGGAAGAAAGGAAAGACCGAGGATAGAGAAGGAGGATTCCAGACTACAAAGTGGAATGGCCACCCCGAGAAAGAGGACAGGCGAATTCAGGGTTTACGAGTGGAATCAAAGGAAAACCCAGGGCTGAGGCCTAGTAATGCCACAGGACTGAATCAGAACCATGACTTTTGTGACAATAGAGGGGGTGGTTGAACCAGCAGAAGGCCAAAGAATTAGGGTTGAACAGGGCTTAGTAAGTGGCCTGGCCACCTGCGTTGCTCATCGGACAACCCTAGGCAGGGTTGGAATATGGGCAGAGAGCATGTGCTTACACATGCCCCATGACATTCTAGAATGTGCTTCTCTGGTTTGGCTCCTCCTTGCAGCAGCCCACTCCCAGAGTTGTGAGGAGACGGCTGTAGCTTCATTGCTGTTTATTTCAGGACTGAAGCTGCTCACAACTTAGTGGTCAGAGGCTCTGAGAGATTGAAACTGAATCAGTACAACTTTAGTTCTTCACATTGAGTAGTTTGACCAGGATTTGACTCACTCTAACTCAATTAGCAAGGGAAAGAAAAAACCTCCCCTAAAATTCAGGAAAAATGATTAAGATGTGTTAAAACATAATTTTTTCTTTAAAACAATTAAAGTAAAAATTCCTTACCTAGCCATGAAT